AACTGTAAATAAAGAACCTGTACAGGGCCAAAAAATGGGACCCTTTGCCTGACGCACATCATCAAACTTTTCGTCGCACAGAGTGCCGCTGTTGATGAAAGTTTACGGCAAAATATCCCTTAGATGTCCTCCCATAAGTAGAAGCAGGCCCTCTTCCACTGCCCTCACCGTCCTCAAAATATGACGTCATCTTCCATCACCGTTGAGCTCAAGAAGGCCTACCGTAATCGTTCCAGCCTGAAGCTGCTACGGAATTTCTTTAATCGGTTCACTGATAGATTGCTTCCTAGGGACAGTAGCTCTAATATGCAAGACCCCTTCCGACCAGCGTTTCAGATAACGTCGTAAAGGTCCATGATCCGCCGAGGACCAGTTGAGCTCGAACCGTGCACAAGGTTCCCATGGCAAATTCTTGTGATGTCCTTGGTGCAGAAAGCTATTATAACGTTTATTGATAGATTGGGATGTGCTCTTTAATACTAAGTTGGGAGCAGTCGGTTTGAGTTTAGATGCTGTCTAAAGGAGTGAAGTGTCTTTTTCGGCCACCCCTGTATACTACTTCTTACATCTCACACCTTCAAGATCTGCATATTATGCCTTAAACATAGTAACAAGAAAGCGTTCTGCCCTAGCTCAGTTGCTCGATTTGGAAATACGAAAAGCACGCACATGAGCAACTCCTGTTCGGCACACTTATGAACGAATCCTTGAAATACAAACCAACCTTAGCTGGGTGAGCTTCTCCACAGTCTAAGGCAGCATCTTGTCGTATCCGCACATCTCCTGCAGCATCAAACTCATAAAGCGGTCCAGTTTTCCCCATAGCCTTTGTTACAATGAAATCTTGGAATCTGAAACAAAAGCCAGTAATGCAAACAACAAAACTTCCTCTCCCAACATCAATCAAAGGGAGCTCTAGAAAGCACAAAAGGAAAAGATAACGACATTCAGACTTGTTCCTTCTAAGCCCTCTTTTCAACCGACTCACACGAATTGTATTGGTGAGCCACCACGAATCCTGAAGCTTTCCAGACCTTGATATCTCCATCTAGAACCAGCTCCAACAGAATTAATTCGATTATATACTGTTAAAATGCGACTAAAGCGGTATTCCTTGTAGTTTTCCGAGTGGTACTGAGCAAAAGAAAGTGAACAAAAAATCTGACAGTACGGGCGGCCATTTATCTAGCAGTAAGCAAACGTTAATAACTACCAGTGAAGACATCAAAACAAAATAAAAACCAATGAAAAATGGACACGTACACCAGAGTAATTTTTTCTTCCAAAGAAAATTTTCCCGCTCTACATCAGCTCTTTGTTTCAACTCAGCATTGGCTACGATTTGAGTTGAATTATAAGGTTGCGAAATGAGAGGTACAGTGGCAAAACTAACTGGGTCGGCAAATGACTCCTCAACTTCTTAAGGAAGAACTGATGAGCGATTTTTATTTCCACAACCTCTTCTAACGCTACACTAACAGGTTGACCAACAGGTTATGTTCAACTGCCACCACATTTCTGTGTGGAATTCGAATGCGTGGCGCATCTTGAAAAGGTTACGCTCTAAACTTGGGTTGTGCTCAAAATTCCAAATAATCAATGTTGATAGATCAAGACTTACGTATAAAAATGCGGGATAATCAAGTCTTCCTTGACGAACATCAAATTTTCTGCTACGCTTGTTTTGAGTTCCGTGAATTCTTTCTTGAGTACCTGCGAAAAAAAAACAAATTTGTTCCATCCTAGCAATACGAAAATCGCCCCTTTCAAATTGATAGTTTGAAACGGAGCTGCCAGCAAACCCTTTCGATGAGTTCCAACCAACCTCAATTGCCCACGTGAGAAATTGCGAAATTGTGTGGCCCTTCTTAACCTTGAGATTCTTCCTGTGACTGGAGCCATCCCAGTAAGCAAATGCTACCGTAATTTCCTCATTTTTCTCCCGCTCTTGCTGTGCTTTCCAAATTGCTGCTAGCTCGATTTTCTTCCTATAAAACAGCGAATTAATGAAAAACATTTTACACGATAAACGTAGTTTAAAGTCACCTTTCAATTTCTGCTTCGCGGTCCTTATCCGGGAGGAAACTTGTATCAATTGTTGGATCCATGCCTAACCTCTAAACGGTGAAAAAAGTCATTAGACGAAACTCTACAGTGGTGATATGATAGCAAAATGAAACCTTTTTAGTGATGACCGGCGCTTCTTCTTCTTCCTCCTCGTCTTCGAAAGCGAAATGACAGAACACGTTTCTGAATGTTCAGACTTCATACCAAATAAAAGAGGTATAATGAGGCCTCCTCTATTAGAAGAAAGAAGAACTAAAAGCAAGAAAGGTGCTAAGTTAGTTGGAGGCGAGAGGGTGGACAACGCAGTGGCGCAGCGCTCTGTTCCTCTGCACATCTAGTGCTTGGCCATAGGCGTTACGATTTCGCCGCACCGTGACAAATACGAAATAAGTGGCACCACAGACTAAGGCTCAGGCTGATGCCAGAGTCCGCGATCCGACGCGCGATTCGCAGAAATCGCGAGTTCCCCTTTCGGACATTCAAACTGAATATGAAACAAGTAGAATCATGTGCAGC